GGGGGGGGGGGGGGGGGGGGGGGGGGGGGGGGGGGGGGGGGGGGGGGGGGGGGGGGGGGGGGGGGTAAGCTCAGTAATTCTCGCGCATGTAGCGCGAAGGGACGCCAGGCATCTACGCAAAATGAGAGGGTACGTATGACAGGGGGGGGTAGGGGGTGGGGGGGGTATGCTCAGTAATTCTCGCGCATGTAGGGTACCTTCTGCCCTTTGAGACGCTCATATGCATACAATATCCCCGTCAAAGTCATGGCGGGGCACATCGGGTTCCGCCCCCCCCCAAGAAACAAGCGCGCGAGGGGGGGATACTGATTTTCTGCTTGCCTTGCGTCATTTGTGACCTTGTGACAACGCGTCTCTTTCGAGATGGACAATCCACAAATACGATATAAAGATGGTTTTCGAAAAAGCAAGAAAGGCACGCTGAAGCGTCATCGCCGCTGCCCGACTCGTACCAGGAGGGACTCACGGGTAACAAACGCCTCGGATCCGTGGGCACACATCCTCGCGCAAAACACGAAACGCGACCGTCAATACATCGCGCACCGATGACAACACGCAGAGCGGCACCCGCCCTTCTTGCCAATCCATCCTCTCTCGACGACGACTCACGACGGTGTTGCAATTGTTTGTACCGACGCTTCGACACACGAAACATAATCAATCGGATGTTGCCATTGTACCGCACGCATCGACACACGAAACAAAATCTGGTGTTGCTAATGTATGCACCGCACGCGTTGACACACGAAACTTCACCACCGTCGCAACTCAAGTCGCGCACACACACCTGGGGCACACAGCTACCCCCCTGACGGTGGGGTGCTCTTCCACTTGGAACACCCCGGAGGACAGGTCTTGGCAGCACACGGTGCAGAGGAAATCATCGCTCCTGTGTGTGTTCCGCGACGATAGGCACCGAAAGCACGTCGGCGGCGAGGGTAGTGGGGGGGAGGGACAGGGGGGGGGTTGCTTGAAGTACTGCTGAGCGTTGAAGAAAAACCAACGCGAAAAAAGCATGATGATATGAAAAGGGTTCGGATGTGTAAGGATTTGTGTTTCTGGCTTGAGGGTACGTATGAGTCAAATCGCGTATAGACATCAAAACATGATGCGTATCGGTCTTTGTAAATCCTTCTGTCTTGGGGTCAGGATGGCTAGGCCTGCCGCTAGATGCCACCTCTGTTGCTGGTGTGTGGGAAAGCCTGACAAGGGAATGAGTTGGCGAGACAACCCCGCAGGGAGGAATCAACCTGTATTTGAACCCGGGCGTCAACTACAAAACAACATGTGCCAGAGGCAGAGAGCGAGAGACTGGACAATATGTGGCTTTGCGTCTAGCGCCAATAAACGGGTGTAGACGCATGAATTGCGTGGTGCTGCTCCCGCATCGCCCCGTTCATGGCCACGCCGATGCGCGCAAAGTCTGGGCTCCTTTCGCGAAGTCCGAAAGAAAACGTAACCTTTCACCGCTCGACTACCAGGTGGTCAGTACAGAGAACGCGTTGAATGCTGACGGTTTGCCAACTGGCATCATACGCTCGCGCTACCAAGCATATCCAACTGACGAAGCAGGTCAATCAATCGAAGCACGTGTACTGAATAAGGTGAGGTGAGTGACGTATCGCACAACCAAGCAACAAGTGACCAACGAGGGGTGTGAGGGGGGTGGCGAAAGTAGAGGGTGTATCTCCGTTTTCTGCGTTGGTTGAGATACAGGCTGCAGATACTGCACACCCTCAGCACCTCCGATACAGTAAGGCAGCGCTGAATTTATTGCTTGCGAGACTGGGATTTTGCGTTTGTTGTCCATCTCAGCTACTCGCTGTCGCTGCTAAGTTTCTATCTACCCTGCGGCCTTGTCTCTCGAACTGAATAGCGCTTCGATCAGGAAGAGGTTAGTCGTCCTTCCCTCAGGCGTATTCAAGAAAAAGTGCGCTCAATCTCCGTACTTCAGAGTTCTCAACGTTGTTCTCAGCTTCTCCTACCTACAGCATAGTTAAGTAAATGTAGCTGGATTTTGCATCAAGGGGCGGAGCACCCCGCCACCAACACCCATTCCGAGAATCGCCCCCAAACGGACATTCCCACGCACGACATGATTAGACTCGTCCACGACCCAAGTCCTCGAATGCGCGCGTCATATCCCTCACTTGATACAGGACAAGTAGGGGCACACGATAGCAACCAGCGGCTTGTTTAACTGTCGCACACACGACAACAAACGAAGCAGCATTTATCTTCCCAGATTCACCCCTCATTCCCGCAGATCACAGCTGGTGTTAATCTGCATCTCCTTGTGTATGTCAAACTATTGTTGTGTGTCCGGCCGGCTTCCCCATTTGCCATCATCATTATAGATCGGACATGACGATGCCCGTGGCAACTTCTGATGTTCTTGATAGTGTTGCCGCCACAGGTGCCGAGTGGCTGCCTTGCTGTCTGTCATGATAAAGACAGGATACTGAGGACAAAACACACCACACAGGCTGCAGCTCTGTCGACTGCTCGTTCGCGAGAAAATAAAGCTGGACCAATCTGGACAACAACCTGTGCCGCGCGCGGTACAGCAGGACACGAGTAGGATGGTGTAGTCGACTACCACTGCTGTGTGTAGCTCGTACATTGCGTTTTTGTGCATCGCAGTCTCTTTCGGTTGGTGTGCATACATCAATTCGACTGAGAGACTTCAGGGTCACAACAACGACTACCAACCAAGGTACCCTAGACAAGCACTACCCGTAGAGGTGGTGCGTACATCACACACAGGCCGCGTTCAGCAGGCCACAACTCTCAACGACTTCACCGTGGTCCGCAGGCCTGCTGGGGAGACAGAGGCACAGCAGACTTCCTGCTGTGCAAAACAGAAACGCGTAGAGATACAATAGGGGGCCCGGTATAAGGCCGATGAAATCGCTTGGCGAAGACTTGGATAGGATAAGGCCGAAGGCCGCCACCGGCCTTCGGCCACTATATCAGGCACTCCCTATATATAAGGCCGGTTATGGCCCCCCGCCTTTCCCCAATACAGCCGGTCTCGGTAGAAGTGACGCTGGTTCCGACAGCGGCAATGCGGAGGCCACTACCTTTCTGCAGAGGGCTGAGATGGCGACGACCGCAGCGCATGCCGCACTGCTGCCCCCGCGACAGGCGGACTTGAGGGAATCTCTTTAGATGTGATGAGCGCGTGGGAGGACTCATGGTAGAGTTTGCTGTGTTGGTGGGGGTCTCGTTGTTCCAGGAGTGTCAGGATTGGGCAGCCCGTGCCGTTACATGCATGTGCCGCTTCAGTCGTTTCTCGGAAGTACATGTATGGCAGGACTGCATGGTTCTGCTGTGTGCTGGTCCGTGTGCTGGTCAGTTGTTGCTTTGTAGGTTGCAAAACAACCGGGGATGGTCATTCGCCTCCCCGTTTTTAAGGGGGGCGTATTTTGGGGCGGAGGTACGAACTACCGCATGCGGGCTTGAGCCATGGAATGCGTTTCGCGCTTGACATGTTTGCCCTACATCAGGTTGTCGCCTAATTAGGTTACATGAAAGCGGACAGGCTTGTATCCTTTTAATTTTTCTAAGAAACGGGGGGATCGGCCGGATGTCTGTTCGCTACACAATACAGTATTCATGTTTGTTCGCCGGAATTATAATATCTTGCTGCTTGGACATGTACCTGAGACACGAGAAAAGGTTGGATAGAAAGCATGAAATGAACGTTATACTTTGCAAGTGTAGCGACGATTCAATCTTACGTACAGCACATGGGCCCTTCGCATGGCCTACGAGCAGTCGGCAGGTAAATGTTCAGTACGGCCGGTACCGGCCCTTCTGAGGAAACATAACTCCTCAACCTGACCGGTACCGGCCTTTAACAGGGCCGATTCTATAAAAGGCCGGGTGCCCGATATAAGGCTGTTCTAATCTCGTGGCACAATGCGGCCTTACATCGGGCCTCCTACACTGCATGTCCTTTGTATTGCCTTCGGCCTCTGTGCTGTGTTTCATTTTTTCATGACCAGCCTGCCTACTGCTGTGTTGGGTACCTTGATCTCGCTTTGCTGTTGCCTTTGTTTTTTGTACGTCTGGCTGTCTGCCCATCTACCGCCTCTTTCCCCTGTTTGCTCCGTTACTCCCATGCCCTGGTGCGTGGTGCCTGGTGCCTGGTGCTGGTACGTTACCCTTTGATTTTTCTTTGGGCGGGTGTGGGAAGCGTCCTCCTTATTTTTATTTTTATTTATTATTTTATTTTTATTTTTTCGATCGGTTTCCGAGGGCACTTTTCTCGAACGGTCGGTGCGATACCTGTTCTTTTCTTTCTATCATTTTTGTTTTCTTTTTCCGAGTAATTTGTACCCTATTTTTGTTCTTTTGTTTTCCCGCGGCGTCGTATGTGCCGGGTTTTGAGACCACGGGCTCCCGATCTTTTGTGGACTGTAGAGCTAATGTGAGAAAAACAACAACAACAACAACAACAACAACAACAACAACAACTGCTGTAGGCATCATTCCCCGTGTGTTTGTCGCAGCGGAAGTGTGTAACATGATAAGACGCGGCCTCGGATGCACATAGACTCACCAGGCGAAAAATAAAGTACAGATTGCGCCCTCCACGTTACAAACCCATGTGTTTATCTTATCAGGCACTGTCTTGGTAACATGCATCTGTACAGCAGTAGATACTGCTGTACCTCGCTGGTGGTTATTGTGCTGCGACTGAAACTGGCCGTTGCCATGCTTGCTGGACCACGCTGCCGGGAGTTGAAAATCAAAGTGTGCCGGGGTTGGGACGCTCACCTTGACTCCTGCGATGGATTCTCATCCTCCATGTCCTTGCCTGCTTTCCCAGACCCTGGGTCCGACTAGTTTACCTCGCGGCTCCCAGGCTCAGCAGCGACAATTACCCCCCCCTGCCCCGTGTCGGCACCAACAGGATCAACAATCAACCGCACTATTTTACCAGTTTGAAAACGGACGTGATAACCGAAGTGAAGAAGCAGGCCTCCCTCGACAACGGACACAGAGCCGAGGCTACCGGGCATGGACCAAGTCTTGTTTGTCTAGCTATGAGCGGGGTAGACACATGGCCGTGCTGTGCTCTACCGCTGCACTGCCCACTGCCTACGCGTGAACCGAGAGGTGGTTCGATGGTTCCCCCACAACAAGGAGGGGTTGGTTCATCTCAAAGGGCCAGTGACATTTGCAAAAGGCCCCGCATGCGGCGGAACAGAGGCGAAAGCTTTAACACGAAAGTCGAAACCCGGCGTCGATCAAACAATCAGTCCGCACAACGGATCATGATAAACATGTTCAGCAGAGGCAGCAGCAGTGGTCAGCAGCCATGTATAACGGCTGGCAAAATGATACGATTTCCTCCCCGTATCCCCTCTCTGCGAAACGCCCGCTCCAGAGCTTTGCCTAAGCTTTTTGGCCGCGCTTTTCCGCACACACCCACACACACCTTTTCTGCCCCTGTGCATCAAGTGACCAATCCTTGCTCACCGACACCAAAGCCGCAGGACCAACATCATCATGCGCTTTACGTGCTCTTTCATGACTTCGATCTTCCTCGGACTCATGTCTGTTGTGGGGCTTCTTCTGGTAGTCTTACAGAGCAGTAGCTCTGAGATCCAACTCGGCAACACGCACCTGCTTGCACCTGGCGTGCCCGCCAACGAGGGGTGCTTCAAGTCCGAGGGAGCCATGCTCGTGTGTTTGGCCAAGGCAGCCACCATCGCCACCGGCGTCGTTTCGACCGCCGATACCGGCAGTACTCCGGGCACCGGAACGGAGAGTGCATTGCAGATCGCCAGAAGCCAAATGCTGTACGACAGTGGTGACTTGCCGATGACTTCGAGGTACGTTCAGTTGCACGACGTGACCACCCCTGTCGCCGCAAGCCCCCCCGCCGCTGTATGCCACCCCGATGCCCACGACGCGATCGACATGTGGGTTGGGCAGTTGGAGGCTATCCTGGGAGAGCTTGCTCTCCACGCCCAGAAGGAAGAGCGGTCTGCTGGAGCGCTGATCGCGCAGGGGCTGAGGAAGATTGCAGCCGGGATCTACCCAGGGGGCATCACCGGCAAAGTGCCTGACGCAGAGAACCAAAAAACGCTCGCCGCACAGACCGCCTCCAACGGGCGGAGTGCCGAGCCCGAGGGCGCCTGGTGGGGAACGAGCGCAGGGAAGGGATGGTGGGACTCTGCCGTTGGAACAGTTGACAGGTGGTTCGCGTCTACCTTTAAGAGCATGCGGGATCCCATCAGCCCCGCACCAGCCCCTCCGCCGCACCCTCCGCCTCCGCCTCCCCCGGAGCCGACGCCTCTAACACCTAAGGTACAAACATGAGTCTTGCACGCGTCTTTATTATTTATATCCTTTATTGGTCAGGCCAGCCCTTGTTCATGCGAGTGTTAAAAGATATTTGCCTTTCGGATTTTTGGAGTTCGCGGGAAAGCCAGGGAAGGAGGTTGAATAGCGTCCGCATTGACAGGTTGAAATGAACCTGCATGGTCTGAGATCGAGCGTGAATGTGAGGATCAATTGCATGACACGATATTTGCCGTCAGGGATTGGGCTGTGGTCAAATCTTCTACGCGCGTACCACGGCCAGCATGAGAAAAGCATGAGAAAAATCATGGGTAACCAAGGGTTCCTCATGTCCCGCCTTGATTGGATTGATCGTGTTCGTGTCCATTTTAGATTTGGTTGAAGTTGTGTTGTTGAGATATTTTGTAGAGTACGCGCGCGAGAGAGAGAAAGATGGACTCATACATATGTACACAGCGAGACATGTAACGGCTGCAGTTCCAGTGACAGTCGAAATTTCCAAACCGCGTAGGATCTCAACATTCTCAGAAGAGCATATGCCCACATAAAGCAAGCCTACCCGTCTCATCAATGAGGAGGTACATGTACTTCGAAAGCACACTGCGCTTGCCTCGGCAGCAGGCGAAGCCAGTGATCGCAAACAGTTTTGTTGAAGCATTACGCCGTCCAACGCCGCTCTCCCGCTCGCGTGGACATACTCACTCGCACGTATACGCAGCAGCCTTTCTGGAAGCGAGTGTTCCAGAGGGACCGAGGCAGCGACGGTACCAGCGCGTCGTCCCCGTCTTGTTCTGCTGCAGCAACTGCGGAGGCATGCTGCAAGGCCTGTGTGGAGATGCACCGAGAGGTAGGCGCTCCGCACACATCACTGCTCGCAGCATGGCACGTGCTGCTGCTCATGTTGGTGCGTGTGGTGGTCGAACCAGCGTGTGTGGTAGGGACTACTTCGTGGAACATTACTATCGTATAATCTAGAGAGATGACGAGTAGAGCGCCGACCGAGCAAGCGGAGTTGGCAAGAA